CAGGAATTCACATCCTGGGGTTGGGAGAGCAGGAATTCACATCCTGGGGTTTGGAGAGCAGGGATTCACATCCCTGGGGCTTGGAGAGCAGGAATTCACATCCCCAGGATTTGGAGAGCAGGGATTCACATCCTGGGGTTTGGAGAGCAGGGATTCACATCCCTGGGCTTTGGTGGGACAGGCTGTGTTTGGTATTTCATGGAATGGTTTGTGTGGGAAGGAAACCTTAAATCCCATCCAGTTCCATCCAGGGATGCATCCCACTACCCCAGCGTGCTCCAAAGCTCTCCTGGCACACTTCCAGGGATCCAGGGGAAGCCACAGCTTCTCTGGGAATTCCATCCCATCCCCTCCCCACCCTCCCAGCCAGGAATTCCTTCCCAGTAGGGGAATCCACATCCCCTTGTCCTGTCACTCCATCCCTTCTCCAAAGTCCCTTTCCCAGCTCTCTTGGAGGTACTGAAAGGCCACAATTTGGTCACCCCGAGGCTTCTCCCGGTTTTTGGGGGGTTGTTCTCCCCCTCCTGCCCCACCTGTATCCGTCCTGCCGGCTGCACTCGTTCCCGGTCAGGTCGAGGATCCGGAGGCTGCGGGGCAGCTCCTCTGCCGGGATAAAGGGAATGACAGAGCTGGGAGCTGAGCCCCTCCAGCCCAAATTCCTGCTCCCCCCAAACCCCCCCACAGCGCTTCCCTCCCTCCCCAGGCAACTCCCAAAGCAGCGTTTCACCCCCACGCCCGGGGAAACTGAGGCAGGGAGGGCGGGAATGGGAATTCCAGCAATCCTGGCAGCCCCCTGGATCCGTCCCTGCTCCCCACCTGCGTCCAGAGCCCGGATCTGGTTGTGGGACAGGTCCAGGGCGCTCAGGTGGGGCAGGGCCTGCAGGTTTTCCACCCTCTGGATGCGGTTCCCAGCCAGGCAGAGGAACCTGGAGGGCACAGGGAGGGTGAGATGTCACAGCCCCACCTGGCCCCAAGGGCTGGAATTTGATCCCACTTTTTTCCCAGAGAACCCATGGAAATCTTTGGGAGCAGGAGCTGCTGTACCTCAGGTTGGGAAAAGACTCCAAATTCTCGATCTTCTCAATTTGGTTCTGGGAAATAAAATAGCAAAACCCCAACGTGTTTTTTTGTTTGGGTTTTTTTGTTTTTCTTGTCTACTGCGTGAAAAATCGCATTTTGGGAACGCTCTGGGATTGCTCCAACCAATGCTGGAGGCAACACGACATCCCACAGGAGGTTCTGGACAGGGAATGGGGTGGGGAGGACACGGAGAGACCCCAAAATTCAGGACCCTGAGCACCCTCAGGTTGGGTTTGGAAACGCTGGAATTCCAGTGGGGTCGGCATCGGCCGGGAGGGAACGGGGAGAGACCAGGGTGGGTCTGGGAGGGGGAGAAAATCTGGGAGGATGGAGGAAAACCGTTCCCTTCTGGGTTTTGGGGAGGGAAAACGGGAGCAGAGCCGGGGTCTGACACCTGCTGCAGGTAGAGGCTGTGAATCT